AAATCGCCGATCCTTGTATGACAGCGTCAGAAGAGCTACTGCCAGTGAAGATGACTCGAATATTTCAAACCTCAGAGCCTCTACAAGTTGCGGCAAAGCGTTAAATAAGAAGTCTGACGATGCACACATAATCCATTCAATGGCTTTCTGCCTTATTCGCGCATCAGGATATCTGGAATGAGCCACGCATCTGATCTACCAACCACGTCTTAGTAACTGAGATATCTGTGGCGGAGCCCGTATTCTACACTCTTGTTCGCTCCAGATGTTGGTGTGTCAAGAGGGAGGGCAGAATTGGCGCAGCGGCAACACGTTTTCCTCCAACGACTGTCGCTTTCCCCTCTTCAACAACTGAAGGAGAACGGGCTAGCGCCGCGCCAAATCACCCCCCTCCCCCATGAAACGCCTCAGACATGACCAAGTACCAGGTCTAAGACTGAAAATACAGGTCGCTGCTGTTCATCCAGTATTGAAAACTTACTGCGGTAGCAGGAGTTGCATGGCCTGAACTGGTGACAGGGGAACCCAACCCTCAATAATCTGGTAAACATTCGAAAGAAAATAGAAGCCCCAATCGGGAACAGAAGCCAACACCTGGAAATTGGTAGTCATTAGAATAATTTAAGGATCATCTTAATGACGCGAACGTACCAGAGGTAGCGCTTCCGGTAGATGCATCAGATATGAACGCTTCTGCCACAGCATTTCCTGCTCATCTGGTGTTAACCTAAATAAAGCCTAGAGTAGTACTGTCCCTGAGCATAATGGGAATCTGAGTGTTGCGAAACAAGAATAGGCCAAAACAAGAGCACAGGAAGAGGCTAAAAAAAACAAAGACGCCAGGGGCCGTATGCTTCCTTCTTTTGCTACTTTGCTCCTTTACTTTTTGTACTTCCCCTCAAAGGGCAGTGCTCTCCCAGAGGATCATATCTATTATACTCTGCGCTCACTATATTCGCGTAGAGCATGCGTCAGGAGGGTACGGCGACAGATCTGTGAGAGCCAGAGAGACGACGGGCATCAGAAAAGACAACGGCGGAGAGTGTTGGTTCACCAGGGGATATTTCCCCTCGAGGGGGAGTACAGCATACGGCCCAGAGTCCTTGCGGGCATATCCCTCTGCCCAAAGACCTAGACTTCTAGAGCTTTCGGGCCAGACTCCCATAAGTAGAGCTGCTCAGCAGCAGAGATAGACTCACTTTGCTGGGAAAGTGCTACTCAACGAAATATTCAAGGGAAGTTGCAGGAACTCTAGCTTCCTCTGAGTTTTAGTTGTTTTGTAAGAAACATTTGATGCTTCTTCGTCTCTCACA